GAAAAACGAATTTATATTCCTTTACCATCAGGTATCATCATTTAAATCTTTTTTTTTTTTTTTAATTTTTTTTTTTTTTTTTTTTTTTTTGGTACCGGGGATTGAACTCGTGTCCTTGAGCTTGCAAGGCAGGCCACCGAACCACTGAGCTAAATCCCCGGCCCATTTAAATCTTGTCTGAAACCTGTTAACTGCCAAGTAGTTTGTTTAATTTGCAACTGGGCATTAATCTTCCCTAAAGAAATAAATATAGTTTATCATTTCTTTGCATTACTATTTGGCTACATCTAGAGCTGGGAAGCCTTGATAATGAAGAAATTAAAAGTTCATCGAGTGACAGCTCTTCACACAAAGTAGACTTGAGAAATAATAGTAGTGTGTTTCTGTTGAAGGCTTACATTTTAAAATTTGTTTCTACCATTAGCAAAAGGCAGGGAGGAGCTATTACGAATAAGTCTGCGTGAGCTGGAATTGGCTGATGATGTTAACCTTGCAAGTATAGCAGAAAAAATGGAAGGTTATTCAGGTGCAGACATTACAAACGTGTGCAGGTAAGCATTATTTTGGAAGGTAAGGTTTTTGTGAGTAAAAACTGTTAAAGCTAGACATGGTACCACCCACCTGTAATCCCAGCACTTTGGTGAGAAGCTGAGGCAGGATTGCTGTGAGTTTGAGATCAGCCTATGCTGTAGAGTGAGACCCTGTCTCCAAAGAAACACAACCTTGTTAAGTTTTTATACTGCATTAATATAAAGACCCACATCCCACATTTCATTCTCTGAAGTCAGGGTCACAAGTGTGACCTTTCTTTTTCTTTATTTTTTGGTACTAGGGATTGAACCCAGGACCTTTGCACTGAGCAATATCACCCCCCTGCCTCTTTTGAGACAAGGTCTTCCTTAATTGCCCAGGCTTATCTTGAATTTATAATCCTCCTGCTCAGCTTCTGAGTGCTGGTGTCATAGCCTGTGGCACCATACTTAAGTTTCAGTTTTAAATTTTAGGTGCTAGTAAAGGTATCTGGGTATATTGGTGAAAGCAGGTGCTGGTAAGAATTTGGGTATCTCACATGTCAGTGAAGAGTCATCTTAAAGCTATTATTCAAGAAGTTAATATTAGAACAATTTGGGTAAAGTAGAAAATCTATAATTGTATTGGATTTCAGTATTATTCACACAACTTCAATATGATATTAACATGGGAAATGATTCTAAAACACTTGACATATCCGTGGTGTAAATAAGAACATCTTGTTCTTAGTGAACATACCCTAAGTGATGGGAATGGGAGTGAGAAGGGGAAAAAAGGTAATCCAGTTAACTAGGTTTTACCCTAATCCCTGAGTTAGCGCAGACACTTATTAGCAAAGGTCTTGACGACACCAGCTTCGTCTCCAAAGTGAGCACACGTTCAGGGTTACGATGGTCGGTGAGAATGTATGTGCACATAAAGCAGCTGGATTGTCCCTTTGCATGCATGCCAGCCACTGTAAAGGATGAAAGCTGGTGAAAGGAAGGAGGTATGCAAGGTTTCTGAACTAGAAGGGGAAAGGAGAAACTTCACATCTTTTACTTTATGTGGAAAAAAAGTTTTCCGGCAAACATATTCTGTCTCTGTGAAGCTTATTTATTTTATTAAACATTTACAATGAAATGCAACTATTAGCTTCTTTATTGTACCTCCACTTTTTCTTGGGTTTATGCACATTATCGGTTACTTATTGCATGGCATCCTTATATCAGAGTGGAAGACTGAATTGCTAAAAAGCAACTTAGAACAGGCCATGTATTCCAGTGTAAAATCTGATGCAGCCCTACCTATGCATATATAGTATGATTTTAATTAGAGAATATTGGAGACCCCTGTGGCAAGTTTCAATCTCCTGCTCAGTGCTGTGATGCAAGGTTAAAAACAAAACAAAAACACAAAGACAAAATTAAAGAGTAAGAGAAATGGGCATCCAGGATGACCAGTGCTTGTGCAAGCAAGGCTGAGCAAGCAAAGGCCTTAAACACCCAAAGCTGTTGATATTTATTAGTGACATCATAGATTGAGGTCAAGGGCTACATGATAGAACGTGTAGTTGCTAAGGATACTTTACTGATGTAGGCAAGGCTTGTAAAGGAAAAGAAAAGCATTCTTGAATTAGGAACAGAACAGACAAAATATAAGTTGGTTGATAATTAACCTTGTCATTTTAGTAAAGAAGGTTTTAACTCTGGGGAGGGAATTTGGGTAAGAGGCATTCTGACATCCATATGTAGGCTTTGGCCAGACTTGCTTCTCAAAAGCCAATTGTGGAGTTAAGTCTTTACAGCCTGTGCACAGCCTGGTTTGGGCACATTCAATAGTTTGGTCCCATACAAGAGAATACTATAGCACATGCATTAGATTTCTTTATTCAATCAAAGTAACACTGTGGCTTTTTTAAAAAAACTCAAAACCTAGGGATGCATCCTTGATGGCAATGAGAAGGCGAATTGAAGGTTTGACCCCGGAAGAAATCCGAAATCTTTCAAGAGAAGAAATGCATATGCCTACAACAATGGAAGATTTTGAGATGGCTTTAAAAAAGGTTTCGAAGTCAGTATCTGCTGCAGACATTGAAAGATATGAGAAATGGATATTTGAGTTTGGATCATGCTAAATTCTCACATGTAAACTGTGAGAAATCTGCCTTAACTCTTTGAAAATAATTAAATGTAGTATTTCATTGCACTGAGTGCTGCTATATTTTTTTAAACTTTCATAATGGTAAGATTTTTTAAATCCTTGTGATTTGAATAAAGGCAAATTTTAAGCTCCAAATTTGTTTTGTTTGTGTAAAGACAGAAATGAATAATAAATATTGGGAAATGGGAAGAAAATGTTCAAATGACAAGGTGAACTAGGGAGAGGAGAGGGAAAGGAAAGAAGGGAGAAAGAAAAAGGACAAAATTTGAAACAAAGTTTTTGTAAATGAGGTGGGGAGAGGGATTGTAGGAGAGGAGAATGGGGAAAAAAGCAGCAGCAAGATAAATCATATACGAGTAGAAATTCCCTATGAATGTTATATATCTAAAATGTACCAATAAAATAATTCATGAATTAAAAACACTGTACACTTAAAAAATTGTTTTTCTTTAGCATTTCCTATCTTCTGACTACAGATGCTTAAACACAAATATTTTTACTTCAGTTGGAAAGCTGGCTTTTTATATACTTATAAATATAGCATCCTTTCTCCCACTTTCTGCCATTGTGGCTCTTGATCCTTAGTTGGCAGTGGTAACTGCAAACTACTGAACAATTTTAAACAGGTAGCCAATTAAGACATGAACCAGGGGCCGGGATTTAACTCAGTGGTACTGCTGCCTGCCTAGCAGGTGCAGAGTTCTGAGTTCGATTCCTGGTACAAAAAACAAAACACGAAACAAGGCCCAGTGTACCTTCCTTTCCACGTAGTGGTGTGGTAGCTTCCCTTTCTGGGATACTAAAACTCCGCTTTAGTGCTTTTAAAAAAGGGGAAAAAATACAATCTTAGTAACTTTGCCTACCTGAGGCTATACTACAGGTTATTTCTAAACCTATGCTTTCTTATGCTCTAGTCAAACCCATAACAGTTAATCACATAAATAAAGGTAATAAATGCAATAAAAGTATACAATTTAGGATAAGATTTCCACTTTGATTTCTTGTATTTATTGTATCATGCCAATCACGGAACAGCCTTCAGGGGACTGAGTTCTTTGTTGTGGTCCCAAGTCTCACTGGGAAGAAGCCAGAATAGAAATCTGACACAGAGCCTCTGAGCCTCTCCAACAGACTGTGTGGTCACCCGTTAATAAGCTTGTGGTTAATAGATGCAGTAAGACCTTGTCATTACTTGGGAGTTAAAACTGTACTTTCTAAGAACTTGTAGGATGTAAAATAGCATTAAAAAAATACTACTGGCTATTGAGTTACATTTTTTGTTTGTTTTGTTTTGAGATACAGTCTGGTTAGGCAGTTCAGGCTGGCCTTGAACTCACTGTGTAGCCCAGGCTAGCCTCGAACTTGCAGTGATCCTCCTGCCTCAGCCTCCTGAGTTTTGGGATTACTGGCAAGCACCTCCACATCCAGCAAGGATCAAGTTATAAATTTCATGACATTACTTTTGTTCTGTTTACAATATGGAGATAGGAATAATATACAGTTGAAATTTACTAATTATAAACCATGCAAAATTAATCATCACTCCTTCATTCTCATGCTTGTCTCCCTACATGTTTATTCTATAAACTTTATAAAAAATAGCCAGTACTTATTGGGTATGGTGGTATACATCTGTAATCCCAAGCACTCAGGAGGCTGAGGCAGGAGGATTGCTACAAGTTTGAGGCCAGCCTGGGGTACAAAGTAGTGAGTTCAAGGCCAGCTTGAACTAAATAGACCTTGTCTGAGAAAAAGAAAATTGAAAACAGCCAGTATTTTCTTGGACTGTGTGTATCGATAGGGTGCAGTCCAAAATGTTTTAATGAAGCAGTATTAGAGTAAATCTTAAGTTATATCTAGAGGTCATATTATTAAAATGTCAGTATGAGTGATAGTTTTAAAAAAAATAAAAGAGGGTCAGGGATTTAGCTCAGTGATTCCGCTGCCTGCCTCAAAAGTGCAAGGTCCTGAGTTCAAACCCTGCTCCCAAAAAAATAAAGTGGAGGGCTGGGGATTTAGCTCATTGGTGCCACTGCCTGCCTCGCAAGTGCAAGGTCCTGTGTTCAATCCCTGGTACAAAAACCAACAAAAACCAGGGTGAATAGTGCCATACTTAAAACCAGAAGACCAAGGATAGATTGATTCCATGACAGTGATGGATTAACCAGCTGATATGAGCCTTGGTTTTAGGGTAAGTGAAAGGAGTCATACCTACACCCATATGTAGGTAATTATCATGTAATTGTAAGCAAAACAACTATATTTTTTCCTCAAAAAGTTTATTTTAGAGAACATGTCACTGTAAATCCTAGTGCATTCAAAGTAAGTAGTCTTGATAGAGGATACAATCAAATTATAATACAACAGTGATTTTATACTCAGTCACTTATGGCATGTTTTACTGAATAAAATGAATAAAAAAGTGCTAAATTCTTGAGTTTTAAATTAGAATTTCATAAAGTGCTTATCATGAAGTCATAGTAATTAAGTGGGTACAATTTCCTTAGCAAAGGCACCTTGGAAAATTATTGGCACATGGTATTCTAGCTCACATTTTTCTTTTCTTTTTGGTAGTTTCAAAGTCTCTTCACAATTCTTCTCTTCCACTTTGCTTAAATTTTTCTTAAAAATTCATCAGCTGAAGAGCCAGCCCTTTTATAGAATCAGATGAACTTTAATTTGGCACGTAAAAGCCAATTTTTAGGTAGTCTCTGGAGTTTGGCAATTTCTTTGTGCATAAACTGATTCTTAGACAAAGAAAATTATATTCAAGTGGCAAATCCGGAGACAACAGACTAGTCCAGAGTCCATGATTTGAGATAGTGTTTTAATTTTTAAATACATGTTTTGTCTTCGAAGTTTTCTTCTGTCTTAGAGCAATCTGGATATAAGTTGATGACTGTCACAGGTATAATACTCATTTTATCCACCTGAAGAATTCCTCTGAAATATAAGATAATTATTTACTATCAAAATTAAGTATTTCCTAAAGAATAGTGTAAGACAGGGCTACTTCAAGATACATAATTATATGCTTAAACCAGATTTAGTGGTGTACACCTGTAATTCCAGTCCTTGGGAGGCTGAGGCAGGAGAATTGCCATGAGTTTGAGGCCAGCCTGAACTACATAGCAAGACTCTGTCTCAAAAAAAAAAAAAAAAAAGTCTATGATTACGCTTTTGCTTCACCACCTCTATAATGGTTATGCAAAGTGCGAATCCACAGTTCAGTTCACATTAGCTAGACTGACAGGAAAGAAAGGAATAGAGGAAATTCATTACTTGGTACTACAGGGAACGAAAGCACAGAGTACATCTAGGTCTTCAAGGCTGAATGTTAGTCCCTGGATTTGCAGGTTAGACACAAAGACTAAACCCAAGCAGCTTTCTAAATAGTATTCACCACTGCAACACCACCTTATAGCTTCAGACAGCAGCATTTTCTTACCAAAATACCTGACTGCAGAGTAGGTTTCCAGAATGAATCTAAGACCCTGTATTGTAAACTCAATGTTATTCCAGTTAATACACCCAGCAGAGGCCAGTTTTAGAAACCAAACAAGCTGTAGTGGTTTAGATTTAAAATGTCCCCAAGAGTCTCCTGCATTCAGAGGTGGGGCTTTTGGAAAGTGATTCGATTATGGGTGTACTATATTCGTCAGCGGATTAATCCATAACTGAATGAAGAGCCGGGGATTCAGCTCAGTGGCATTGTGCCTGCCTTGCAAGCACAAGGTCCTGAGTTCAATTCCCAGTACCACAAAAACAAACAAATGTAAGCATAACTGAATGGGTGGGCAACCTATTCAGAATTCCTCCTGTCTCGAGCTATTTCTATTCCCCAATAAATTTTCCTATTCCTAACCTCAATTCTTTAGAATTCATTCTTCAACACTGGGGAACACCTGACATCTAGCAGGTTGAGAATGACATATTTTCCCCCTAATCATTTTGGAGGTCCCACCAAGATAATTGAAAGAAGGTAAAAATATGCGTTTGGTTCATGGATTCTGGATTGTGACTCATTTAGGTAATCACTGTCATTCTTGTTTGCTAGCTGCTATGCCTGATCTTTTATGCTTGTGTTTTTATGCCTTGTTTTTTGTCAAATGATAGTAAAGTTAAGTTGAGAACATAGGAAGATTATGTTTCTCTGATGGGACATTTTATTTTTACAGGGTCCTGTATTCGTGTTTTGTGTATAGACTTACTAGTTGAATTTGATGGTGTCCCTTGATTGAACTGTTTGACTTGACAGTTGTGGTGTGTTGTCTTAGTGGCATGAGGGGAAAAAAAAGATTAAATGTTAAAGTGCCCCCGCTTTGACACTAACCAAAATGTGAATTTGTAAAATGCTGTAAAAATTTTAAAAAATGAAATCTAGTTTCTGAAATATAAATGCCTCTATAAATTCAGGACTCCCTCAGCCAGTTATGTGTGACAGTGTGGCTGCTGACCTTAAGTCTGGGAGGACAGGATTCAGTGAGACAGTGTGGCCTGATCCTCCCTCCATGCTCACCCAGTAAAAACGGGCTTCTGGGTGACACCAGAAGGAGCTATTTCCTAAGAATTATACTTAAGGGACCAAAACACATCCAGTTCAAGAGAGAATTTCTAAACTATTCTTTTATCTCACTCTCTCATAACCCTGAAAAAGGCCCCAACATCTTGGCTCGCTCTCCCCTCCTAAGCCTGGTTCCCATCACTTATGTGTGTAGGGGAGGGAAGTACTTTTCTTAATGTGTAAATTGTAGTTGCCAGACGAATACTGGTTTTAACTTATGAGTTTCCTAAGTGCGTTACAGATACAGAGACACAGAAAAGGGAATCTGTAATTCAACTTGGCCACATCTGAGAGTGTACTCCAAGTAAAATGTAATTGTCTTGTATATATCTGTCTGTTCAGTGCTAAAACATGCCTGCTCAATGTTAAATTATTAAAACACCTGCAGCTACTTCATTTAAAAAAATATTTTTTGGAGTGCAACAAGATTTTCTTTTTGGGGGGCTCTTTTGAGAAGTTCATGGAAAACCATTTGTATCAGTTTTCAGGGTAGCCAAACTTAAAACATTAACAGATGAGGACTGATAGTATCAAGGCTTACATAGGCCTTAAGATAAAAATGAATATGTCTAAAGTTGCTAATACATTTCCATCCAGGTTGTTAGCTAATTGAAATAACAGGTTGGTTTTCTAAATAAAGAATAAATTCTTTATTGTTGTTTATCTACAATAATTTAAGAGTTTTTCCTTGGATAAGACAATATGTATAAGCTTAGAGTGTATTTTTGTTTTTGGTACCAGGGATTGAACTCAGGTCCTTGTGCTTGCAAGGCAGGCCACCGAACCACTGAGCTAAATCCCCGGCCCAGCTTAGAGTGTTTAAATATTGTGATTTGGTTCTCATGAGTCATCTAAAGCGATTGTTAAGATATATTTAAGTTGGCTATGATGAAAGGGTTAAGCTTTTTATGTCTAAGGTTTTCTTAACATATTAAATGTTTTTGGTTAAATTTATAAAATTAAGTTGTTTATGGTGGTAAACTTTTAGGCTCAAACATCTGGCATTTTCTTACTTGCATTCCAACTGTTTGTGATGAAATGTACCTGCCAATCCATCCTTGGACAGCCAGCCAAATAATGCAGATGTTTTCAAGCTTATGCTTCTGTCATTGTTATGTAACTGTGTTGTAACAGTTAAAGGTATTACCAGGCTGAACACACAAACTGTAAACCAAAAGTAGAACTCTCCTTTAAGTTGCAGTATTGGAATCTTGTCTCAGCAACAGGAAAATGATCAATATATAAACTGATTATAAAGTTCAATGAGGAGAAACTTTGCAAGAATAGCCACAAGGTTTTTAAAAAAATGAACAGTGAGAAGAGAAAGTTGGCCCCATCCAGCTATCAAAGACGTTACTATTACAATAGTTACAAAACTATTACAATAATTAGTTGGGTGTGGGGGTGCACACCTCTAATCCAGCACGCTGCGAGGTTAAGGCTGATGAGTTCAAATTCAGTATGGGCAATTTAGTGTCTTAGCAAGACCTCATCTCAAATGAAACATTACAAATGGGTGGGGATGTAACTCAGTGCAAAAGCCCTGGTTTTAATCCCCAGTATCAAAAACCTGTTACAGTTATTAAAACGTGCTACTGGCACAGTAGAACAAAACATAGCCCAGACAGAATAAAACAGGAGTGAAACTGCCTAATATATGGAAATCTTGTTTATAATAACATTCCAAATCAAAGTTAAATAACTAGTGGAATGATGGACTCTTTAAAAAAATAAAATCAGAATTCTAGTTTAAACTACACTTAGAAGTGATGGTAAAAATAAGGTTTAAGAAAACACATAAGCAAAACCTGGGCATATGGTACATGCCTATAATCCCAGCACTTGGGAGGCTGAGGCAGAAGGACTGCTACAAATTCAAGGCCATCCTGAAATACAGACCTCATCTTTAAAAGAAAAAAGGGAAAAAGAAAAAAAGGGTTGGGGATTTAGCTCAGTGGCACCACGCCTGTCTCACAAGCACAAGGTCCTGAGAAGGGGGATGCTACCATATAATCCCATGCACTCAGGAGCTGATACTCGCCCTCCCTCCACATGGGAGCTACACAAGCCAAACCTCCCCAGTCTATACTGCCGGGATGTTTGTTAAATCTTGAAACTCTCCAGCTTGCAGGCGATCTCAAGCCTAAACGCCTTATCTTTTACTGCAATCAGGCTTGGCCCTGATATAAATTAGACAATGATTCCCACTGGCCAGAAAATGAAACATTCAACCTGAACATTTTATGGTATCTTTACAATTTTTGTCAATGCAATGATAAATGGTCTGAAGTTCCCTATGTGCAGGCTTTCATCTACCTCTGTACCTGCCCTTCTTTGTCAGTCTTAAAAATATCCCACAAATTCTTCTTGCCCACACGGCTTCATCCACCACCACCAACCTCATGACAACTTTTGACCCGGCTGACCACCCCCCCTCTAGCTCCTCCTCCTCGGTTCCTTCAACCATTTCCTCGCGCTCTCCCTCCCCACAGCGCTCTTACTTATCACAACCAAACCACCCAGCCCCCATACTTCCACACACCTGCTCTTTCACTATTCCTCCAGCACCTCCCAAACAGGAGAGTGAGTTAACACCCACTGCTCAAGGCTCTGCAAAAGAAAGTAAAATCCTCTCCAGGCCCTGCTCATTTACATATCAAAAACTTGTTTGGCAGGCTACACTAACTAGAAATTGCAAGCCGGTGGTGGCACACGCCTGTAATCCCAGGATCACTGTGAGTTCTGAGACCAGCCTGAGCTACATAGTGAGTTCCAGGTCAGTCTCAACGACGTAGTGAGACCCTGTCTCAAACAACAACAACAAAAAAACCAAACAACAAAAAAAAGAAATTGCATCGGGCCCTACTGTTTTCTACATAAATATTGGAAAATACAAGGTTTTAAAACAATTCAAAGAAAATGTAATGCTTAAAATCAGAGCACAAAGACCAAATGTTAGGTTACAGCCCAGTGCCGCCTACAGACTACTTGCTCCATATTAAAATCAGCTGCGATATCCTGCCAGGCAGGCAAACCTGGAAAAAGCACACAAAAAAATTTTTTTTTACCTAACAAATTATCCCCCTTTATGACTGAGGAACTAAGATGAGAGATTTGCAGAGACATTTAACTACCAATTTTTATATCCTTTTTGGCACCTGAAAGTCTCCAATCATTGCCTAAACCTGCATCACCTGGGATTAGCACAGAGCCTCCACTAGACAGTCCCTTGTCTTAGAGCTCCCTCTAGTGGCCTAATTTGTAACCTAAGATTAAAGCCAGCTCATTGCCAACAAAAAGAAACATCTCATTTTAGGCCCAGGCCCAAGCTCTATCTCCATTCCAGATTTAAAAGCTGCTGCCCTGCCTCTCCCAGCAGGCTGAAGTCTACTTCAGACCTCTGACAGGCTGTTGCGGTTGAAGTGCTAGTAAATCTTTCTACTTTTTCTTATCGTCTGCAGGTCTTACACTAACACCCTCCACAAACAGAACAATCATCTCATAGAAATCAGATTGCTTCCTCAAGCAATAGGAATGTCTCCAGAGCCACCTTTTTAGAACCAGGCTTGAGATAAAAATCAAACCAGAGCCCACCTCAGCAACCTCATAAGAACTAACTGGCCTCTTCCCTTTGTTAATGGGTTAGTCTGATCTTTGAGTTGTGCTCTTTTCAGCTCTTCCATTCAAGATGTCCCTTCCTTATTTTCTATTCCAGTTTTTGCTTATAAACTCATTTTGTTGCCCCAGTTTTAATTTCCATTATCACTGAATCAAGGACCCACAATAGCTAGTGTTAATACAAGTTGGTTGGAGGCTGAGGGGGGAGGATCAAAAGTTCAAGACCAGCTTGGGGCACCAAGTGAGAGCCTGTCTCAAAATAAAAATGGGCTGGGATGTAGACCAGTGTAAAGTCCTTGCCTAGCAGACACGAGGCCTTAAGTGCAATCCCCAGTACAAAATTTTTCTTTTTTTTTTTTTTTTTGCAAAATTAAGACCTCAGAAACCATAAAGGAATAACATAAAATTGCTCAGACCCAAATTGTATGACACGAGCTACTAACTGTTTAAGAACAAAATAATGGTAGCCTGGGATTTTTAAAAAATGCAATACATATATATACATAACAAAGGGACTACTATAAATGATTATTCTAAGCAGCATAAGGCAACAGTGGACAAAGGATACAAACTGGCAAGTCACAAAAGAATTATATAGCCAGTTATCAAGAAAGATACTAGACGAAACCAGGAAAGTGCTAGTAAAAAGAAAACACAAAATTTAAATGAGATTATATTTTTAATCTATAGCAGCAAAAATTTAAAAGATCATCAGGTTTTGAGAAGTTTTTGTTTTTGTTACCGAGGATCAAACTCGGAACCTTGCACTTGTGAAGCACGCAGCAGAACCACTGAGCTAAATACCCAACCCTGAGCAGTTTTTAAATAGACATGTCCTCTGTCCCAAAATCATAGGACTCTGTTTCCACAGATACACATGTGCAAAGAGAGATGTATCAACACAAGAATGTACGCTAGAACATTACTGGAAATAACATGAAATTGGAAGTGATCTAAATGTCCAACAGAGGAATAGTTATGGAACATTACTTTTTTGTTTGTTTTTTTGAGACAGGGTCTCGTCTCACTATGTAGTTGAGACTGACCTAGAACTCACTATGTAGCCCAGGCTGGACTTGAACTCACAGCAATCCTCCTGCCTCAGCCTCCTGATTGCTGGGTTGATAGGTGTGTGCCACCATGCCTGGCTTTTTTTTTTTTTTTTTTTTTTTTTTTTTTTGGTACCAGGGATCGAACTTGGGTCCTTGTGTTTGCAAGGGAGGCGGCAGCACCACTGAGCTAAATCCCTGGCATCACATATTTTTGATACTGTGATTCGTAATAAGATATATCTTATCTCCAACCGATTTTTTTGGGGGGTACCAGGGATCAAACTTAGGACCTCACACTTGTGAGGCAGGTGGCAGCACCACACAGCAATGACCAGACTTCTAGTCTCTAAAAGTAACTACATTTTAAACTGGATACTTTGGGATAAAAATACATATTCAGTCCTCTTGTTTTATTGATTTCTTATACACATTACACCCTATTATATACTTGTTTCCTTTCTCTCCCTCACTTTAAGATCTTTAAGCACTGCAGCTGACCCTCCCGGCCAGTTTACTGGTAGGCTATAAGTGACATAGGCTTCCTGCTTCCCCATAATTCAGCTGTATTATACTAGGAGTCTCACCAAAGCCTATCTGACACTCATGGGCATGGCAGACAGTGTGCTGGCAAGTACAATGTGCCCCCACCCAATGGCTCCAGCAGAAACCTAAGTCCTGGTCTGTGAAGCTGCAGGGCTCTGATTGAGACAACATTGCAGCCAAGGACAGAGTGGCTCCAACTAAATTGCTTTCCTCGAATTATGGTTGATTACAATAGGTATTCAATAAGTGTGTTTTAATTTTCATAAAGTTGGAAGATGAGCTAGGAAAAAGTAGGTGTTACTTTCCTTCCAAACTGTCTCACCATCTTACCCTCTTTTTTCATGTTTTCTATTCTAAAATATATAGTTAATATGCAAAAATAAAGTTGATTTTTAACATTCAAGAAAATAAATATATAGTTAATGTAATTTGTGTGTGTGGTGCACATGCATGCAGTACTAGATACTGAACCTAGAGTCTTCACACTGAGATACATCTCCAACTCTTTTTAATTTTTTTAAAAAATTTGAGATAGAGTCCCACTAAGTCACTAAGTTGCTCGGGCTGGGCTTGAAGTTGAGATCCTCTTGCCTCAGGCTCCCAGCATGCTATGATTTAGGTGTACACCACGATGCCTACCTGGGGCCATGAAGTTTTATTTTTGGTGGAGAGGGCATGATTTTTATCCCTGGCATTCTGAACCCATAAACTATCATGATTCATAACAGTGAAAGGTGTCATAATTTAGTTTATTTTTGTATGTGCACCACCACACTTGACTAATTCATGTCTTAATAATTAAAAATATTAATGTTTCAAAGGTAAGAAATACTTACTTATACTCAGAAACTGGGAAAAGCAACTTTAAGATGGTTAAGACACCAGCTGCTCCTAGAATGCCAACCACCACGACGTTTAAAAACATGAAGAACACATGAGAAACACTGCTCCAGAATCTACACAGATCTTTTCTGAACTTTTCCATCCACTGACACATTACCTGAAAAAGGAGTTTTGATTAGATATGCAAGTTCCATAAACTTTTACATTCTAAAGTTTATTAATGTTTTAGCTTTGGGGTGATGAAAATATTCTGTATCTTGATTGTGGTGATGGTTATATATACTACCTATATATTTTTAGCACAAGGGATATAGCTTAGTGGGTGAGAGCTTGTCCAGTATGCATGAGCCTTGGGATCAATGTATCCTCAGCCCCCGACCTTGCTCCCTTTCTCTATATACACACACATATATACACATGCCCTACGTGTGTATTTTAAGCAGGGAATCCTATTTTTAAATGTACCTTAATAAAGTTATTTATAATCTTAGAAGTTATATTCTAAAATTCAGGCACAAAAATGTTAATATCCTGGGCCAGTAATTTAGCTTAGCGGCATAGCGCCTGCCTAGCAAGCGCAAGGTCCTGAGTTTGATCCCCGGTACAAAAAAAAAAAATCCTTTAATATTATTTATACTGCTGCCCAACTACAAATCGAGTAAAAATAAATGCTCATTGACAGATTAGTCAGACTTGTCTAAACAGAGTGGACTAAAGTCAATTATATGTTTCAAGCAGTTGCAGGACAAGAGATTGAAAAGATAAACTTTCTAGGAGCTTTTGAACAGTGGGAGATTCATGCTATACAAAATATTTCTATATTTCAAGAGCAAGAGACAGACCTAAGGTGGCACTGACCCCAACTGTTATGAAGATAGGTGAAGACAGTCTGCTCTGACCTGCTGGGGGTCAGGTGAGACAGGGTGTGGATGCCAGATTTCAAAACGCCCAAATACTTGGATTTCCCCAGCAACCTCAAATAAACAATCCTGACCTTCCATGAGAACTTCTCCTTGTAGAGTAACCATAGATGATACTCTTAAATGGAAATTCTTTTGGATAAGTGCTCTAGCTAATATGTAGAGCTATCAACTGTATCTTCCTTGTAAGCAGTATAAATGTCAAGGTATATGGTACATAAGTACTTAATAGGTGTCAATGCATTTACATGCAATATCCATTTTATTTAATTCTTACGTCATGAAATACTTTATGTAATACAATACTTTACAGATTAAGCACAAATAAACAAGTTAAAGAGTTAAGAATTTGTCCAAGATCACAAAACTTATCAATGGCAGACCAGTTTTCAAATGTATCACATCATATAAGATCCTAAGGGCAAAATCTACCAGTATGTTCACAAGGAAGTAGCTGCAGAATGAAAAGAAATAGAGAGATGAGAAAGAATTTTGGAACTGCAAATTCTTAACCCAATGAAATCCAGTGCCTTTATGATTATGACCTGACTGTGTTGCTATTGTTATGGTAGTGGAGACTAAACCCAGGGTCACGGGCATGCTAAGCAAACACCCTATCACTGAGTTATTCTCCCAGCCCCTGTTCATGAAACGTAAACAAAAAAATAAGAATACTTTAAAAAATCACATTAAAACCATAGCGGAAAAAAAAAAATAACAAGTCTGTTAACAACCCTCCATGCTTTCAATCCATGGTTTCCACTTTTTTTTTTTTTTTTTTTTTGGTACTGGGGATTGAAGTCCGGTCCTTGTGCTTGCAAGGCAGGCCACCAAACCACTAAGCTAAATCCCTGGCCCTCCACCACATTTTAAATGTATCTATTTTCTTCCCCATAAATATAAATGCTTATGATGATAACACCAAATAAAGCTAACAGCAAATACTTAACTTACCTTATATGAGGATGGAGGTTCTGCTCTGAGAGGAGTTTCAGGTAATTTGCCAGGTAAAACATCTTCATCTACTGTGGTTTCCACATTCCTGATAAGGTACTGGCTGGTGGTCTGCAGTGAATTCACACTTTCTACCGAGGACGAAGAGCAAAGTTACCAAAATGCTAGTGGCTTGCTAGAGTCTCTTCTACAAGTCCTAGGGTTATTCTTCCAATAACATTTAGGATAGTAAGATCAAATATTTTACCATGGGAGGGGAAAATAATTTTAAGCACCAGAGTAAAACACATCCTAATTTATAAGGGGTTACAGTAGTTATAATTTTGTCACAAAGATTGTATGAATTTTAAAAGCTTTGTTTTCAGTGGAAAAATGACTTTTAAATGAACCTATATATTATTATTGTAAATGTCTACATTATTATTATAAAGGTATATAATTACTGGAAAATGTCACTATGCAACCAGTATTGATCACATTTCACTAAGGCTCAAAACAGATTCTTTAAGTCTAGACATAAAAATAATACATAAAAATAATACATAATACATATTATGAAGGGTTTTGTGTTTTTGTTTTTTGCAGTGCTGGGGATTAAACCCAGGGCCTCATGCACATTAGACAAGCACTCTGTTATGGAGCCACAGCTGCAGCCCCTATAGTTCTGTTGTGCTGTGCTCATGGCATTGAACCCAGGGAATTCTCAACTGAGTTACATCCCCAGTTTCTTTTATTTTACATTTCAAATCAGGGTTTTCTAAGTTGTCCAGCTTGCCTTAAAACTAGTGATCCTCTTGCCTCAGCCTCCCTAGAATCTGAGATATAGGTATGCACCATCATGCTCTGCTGAAATATTTCTTAGAGGAGCTTATTTCCAAACATGTTAATTATAATAAAAAATATACAGCAATTTTTATAAATTACATAAATATTACAAAGTTCAAGAATATATAAAGTTACTAACAAAAATAGTTTCCTTACTATTTTCAATGATGATTTTTTTGTGTGTGCTGGGGATCAAACTTGGTACCTTGTGCTTTTGAGGCAAGCAGCACCACTGAGCTAAATCCCCAGCCCTTCAATAATGATTTTTGAAATTACCTTTTTTGGAGAGGTTGGGAAGGGTAAATAAAATGTCGTTGTCTCGGGAAATAGAGTATAACATGCTTTCCTCCAAAGAATGGCTATAGTTTGAATGTCTGAGTATTCTGTGGTCCTTAACTAAAATATCAATTTCAATAACATCCTTTTGTTGAGCCTATGGAAGAAAAAATAAGTACTTGAAGAAAACCCCAGTGGCTCAGCATCATATAAATTTAAAAGTCCATTTTTCTCCCTTATTCCTATAAAAACTTGTCCTATTCAGACAATTACTACTTATTCCCTCCTTATACTGTGGGGCATTTAATTTCATCTTTAACATACTCATGTCTGCTTTAGCACCATCTATTTAAGTTTAATTTCAGTTCTGTAAGAACTTAGAAAAAATGAACTATGAACCAAATTTAATTTCTTACTTTCATTAATGTTCATTACATTTTAAGTGATTTAGGTTTGTATGAAATGTGTAATTTCAAATATACATGTCAAATGCTAAGACAAGTCAACTAAAAATCTAAATGATTGGATACAGGCAATTATTAGGATACCTTCTTATCAAGTCAGAAATCAACAAAATAATTGAACATACGCACAGCAAGAACAAATTTAAATCTTTACAACTGAATTCCCAGTTAATAAGCATACTATCTTACTTGTTTTCCATCAATCTCTACTACTTCTTCTTGAATGACAATTAGTTGCAAACTGGAACCCGATGTCATAGGCCACTCATGAACTAAAATCCTTACACTGACAATTCCAAAATATTCCTTTTCCTCCGAATTTTCCAGATTTTCATTCTTCACTATAAGAAAAAGTAGCAACAACTTTGAACAAAAATTGCCACCAAATCTGTTACTAAATTTCATCATTTTGATATTTACATGGAATAAAATAGTTGAAAACTAATGTTGGGGAAGAAAGAGGGGAGGAGGAAAGGAAAGTAGGGACAAGGAAAAAGAAGAAAAAATGGAAAAAAAGCCTTTGTAAATAAGGAGAAGAGGGGTTGAAGGGAGAGGAGGAATGGGAAAAAAGAAGCAAGATATATCATGTACAAGTTACCTATGGTGAATGTTATCATGTATATATAAAATGTACCAATAAATGTTTTGCTTAAAAAATTCTTAAAAAAAACAAAAACAAAACTAATGTTGGCCTTTTTCATCCGTGACCTTAATACTGTTTCAGATTTATAAAAACAAAGACAATCTGACAAAACCTTACAGTTTGCACTCATTTGGAAAGGGGAAATTCTTGACAGCCCTTAGTTTTTATATAAAATGTTACATCAACAGCATCCTTTTATACAGGATGGCAATAACAGAGCCAAGATAGCATAACTAATTTACAAAGCAAGCCACAAGACAGTCAATTCCATGTCTTAGCAAACTAAGAACATTCATTCACAAAATCCAACAATGGAAGGGGTTTAAACATAAATTGTGGGCTTTTTTGTTTTGTTTTATGAGTTTTAATCTTTTCCCAGTAAGTGACTTGCTCCTGTTGGAGAAATCAGGAATAGGAAAGAGATGGGAGAGGCCATTATTATTCCTTATAATGAACAACAGGACAGGACTAGCTACTAACCATGCTCCCCTCTAGCTAGAAATCCAATGGAGATGGGGTATGGTAGTTGCAGTAGTTAAAGAGCAAGTGGCTATTCTATTAAGACACAAAGTGCCATAGAAAAAGAAAAAGAAAAAGCAACACATGTCAATGAAACTGTCAATAAGAGAAGCATTTATTTGCTGTCCTTCAAATAATCTCAAGACTATTTGTCAAAAAACCCAGAAATACATTCTGAAAGCAGGCCTAGCTATTTTTTGTCTAGAATATACCAATGTCAAATTCATTAACCACTTAGTATAACAGTTAATTAGCTATTCTCCCCTTCTTTAGTCTTTTCCAAACTACTCACACAACAGTGACTATCTCACTGTGATATCACTTTGACTGTATAACCTCCTTGCTCAAACACTGTCAGTGACATCTCCACCAATTTTCTGGTAGTTCTTTGCTCCTCCTCCTTCAGGCTCCTCATCTACAGGCACTGTTCCCTCACTAGTATACCTAACACCTTCATATCTTTTGTCACTTACAACTATAAAATATCCCCTCTTTCACAGTCCATACTGAAGTTTGTGTGTGTGTGTGTGTGTGTGTGTGTGTTTCCTGTGGTGCAGGAGATCAAACTCAGGGCCTTGTATTTGTTAGGCAAGCCCTTTACCACTAAGCTATATCCTCAGTTCTCTTTTTTAAAGATGGGGTCTTGCTATGTTGCCCAGGCTGTTCTCGAACTTCTGAACTCCAGTGATCCACCCACTTCAGCTTCCTGAGTGCTGGGCCCATAGGCATGCACTTCAGAGCTTGGCTTCCTGTCAGTATTTTAATAAATGGATAGGGCTGGGGATTTAGCTCAGTGGTTCTTCTGCCTGCCATACAAGCGCAATGTCCCAAGTTCAATCCCCGGTACGGGGGTGGAGGGTGGGGCCCAATGGATGAGAAACCCACTGCCTCTCTCCCTCCTTCTGAATGTGGGCTAGGCCTAGTCCCTTGTTTCTGACAAATAGCACATTCTTTATTTCAAGCCAATACTATTATATATTTTTAAATAACATCTGTTTATCTTTAAACAACTCAAAAATTTTAAAGGTTAGAGAGAAAAACATTTAAAAGAAAAACATTCTACTAACAAAAGCATAAAGGAAACTGAAAATCAGAAAATCACAGGGATGAGTTGTTCCTCTTTATTTTCTACTAGTGTGGCAGCGGTACCTCAGTTTACAAACAATTTGTTCTATAATTTTGGGGAAAAACATCACATTTGTGTTTGTGCCAGAAAGATATTCACAGGTGTGTCACCTGATGTAGAGTTTGCAAACAAAAAGAAAATTCTGCCAAAAACTTCTGTTTGCAAACCAAATTGTTTGCAAACAAAAGCACTGGTGAACTGAGGTACCACTATACCTCTCCAAAATTTTGGTTCTTGCTATCCCACCTCTCTGCACTTACTTACTTTCTTTCTTTCTTTCTTTCTTTCTTTCTTTCTTTCTTTCTTTCTTTCTTTCTTTCTTTCTCTCTCTCTCTCTCTCTCTCTCTCTCTCTCTCTTTCTTTCTTTCTTTCTTTCTTTCTTTCCTTTTTTTGAGACAGTCTTGCTCTGCAGTTCAGGCTGGCTCATTATATAGCCCAGGCTGGTCTTGAACTCATGGCAATTCTCCTGCCTCAGCCTCCTGAGCGCTGGGATTACAGTTTATGCACATTCTTATATTAATGTTAACCCACCAGAAATGCAGTTCCATCAATGTCAATCTCAGGAAAAAGAAAACAGGGAATATTCCATCAATAACCAATTAAAGAAGAGAGTGTTAAACACATTATGGAGTGTTATATACAAATGACGTGCATTATTACTTTAAAATGAAAATATGTAACATCCAAAAATTTTACTAATATTAAAACAGAACAGTTTTGGAAATAACTTAGTAGTACTCACCTATTAAAGTCTGACAGCTTATTCGGGTTACACCACTATTTACAGGTAAGTCATTTACATATACCTGCCCACTCTCATAGGTTATGTTAAGAACAACCTTAAAATAAAGCAGCACATTTATTAATTCCAATTATTTATAAATGATGACAAACTTCATGTCAAAAATACATTATTTTTATAGTTAAATTAGATGTATCAGTGCTATGGTTTGGATGTGGCTTGTCCCTCAGGAATTCATTTATTGGAGGCTTGGTCTCTAGTGTAGTGGTGTTGAGGCTGTGAGACCTTTAAAATGTGGGACCTAGCGGGAGGTCTTTAAGTCAATGGGAGCATGCCCTTAGAAGGAACTGTGGGACTCCAGTCTCTCTTTGCCTCGCACATGTGCTCCTTCACTAGTGCCAAGCTGATGCCAGCAAATTGCCCCTGAGCTTCCATAACTGTGAGCTAAATAAACCTCTTTTTCTATAAAGTAATCTGGTTTGGGTATTCATTATAGTAACAGAGAAATGCATCAATACAGTGGTAAAAATACAATAGGCTGCATAACACTTGGCTAAATGATATATGAAAAAAATCAAAAGAAGACAAACCTGTTCTTTAGATACTTTGCCATCATCTTTTAGGGTAGTCACATTAATTCTGATGCCATCCTACAAAACAAATACATAAGGACAGGTAGCCATTTCATAAGTTGAGAATGACTCAGTTCCTTGAAAATGACTCAGTTGTTTTTCTCTCTGTGCGAGTTGAACCCAGGGCTTTGTATATGCTAGGCAAGCATTCTGGCACTGAGCTACATTTCCCAGGACATTTTTATTTATTTATTGCCTTTTATCTCTCCTGGTTCACAATTCCAATTTTTAATAATCTATATACTTTTTCCATTTCATTGTGAACTTTATTACCTATGAGCATATAATATTCAAATGCAGTGTAAAAGATATTAACTACCTAAATTAAAATCTAAAATGTTACCATTTTACCATTCTAAAATCTAAAATGTTACCATTCTACTAACTGAGAAGTTTCTCCTTTCATTTCCACTTCTTCATTCTAAATCCTTTGTTCATAGGCTGTCTCTGGGACCCAACTGGCTTCCTAAGGACAAAGACAATCAATATTTGGTTTAAAATAAACACAGCTTGGTGTGATGGCACATGTTTTAATCCCAAGCTGAAGCAGGAGGATTGCAGAGAGTCTGAGGCCAATCTGGATGACACAGTGAGCTCAAGGCCAGCCTAAACTACACAGCAAGATCCTGTTTCAAAATTAAAAAAAAAAAAAAGATGTTTCAATTTGTCAACTACTCACAAAACCAGTTTTCTTAAATTTTATCAAGTTGGATACACAGATGGACAAATAACAGATATGTTCAACTGTTTTTTTTTGGTATCGGGGATCAAACTCAGGCCCTTGCCAGGCAGGTGGCAGAACCACTGGGCCAAATCCCTGGCCCAAATGAATAGATATGTGGTAAAGCAAGTAAAGTAAATGTTAATACAAGAAAAATGTTAATACAGTTTAGAAAGGCAAACTTTCAGCATGGTAACCACTAATAGCATGGCAATGTAAATTTAATTAAAATTAAATACAAATTTTAAAAAGTTCTTCATTTAGCTGCAAGTACTCACTGGCCATAACAGTCTAGGGAGGACTATAATGGAGAGAATTGAAGCATCAACAAAGTAACACAAAGTCCTACTGAAGAGGCTTAGCTAACAGGGAACCACTGTAAGTTCTTCCAAAGTTTTAGAAAATAAAAGTGTAGCTTTCCATATATACTCAACACTTAAGAAATTCTGAGGTTAAAGCCAAACCTGCTAAAAGTGGAATGAAGACCCAAGAAGGGAGAACTGAAGTGGTAAAATTACTAAGAGCCAGCCCACGGTGCAGTGGTTAAAAGTTTTATTTTTCTCTCAGACTGTATGCACAGACTCAATATCTCTTGGATTCAAGTAGCAATGATGAATCTTCAAAATCGGAAAAGGGGGAAAAACGTTCATATCTCCATAACTTTAAAATTATTTCATTTTAAAAATCTGGTTTCCTGATGCTTGTTTGGAACATTCCTATTTTTAACCAGAGGCAACTGTGGCCCACATATAATTTCATATAAAAGTGGTTCTTAGAGCTTGCAATGTTATGGTTCTCTGGAATGTGCAAGCAGAAATAAAACTAAGACATACTCTCAATTTTTGTACACAGAGAGAGTAATATTGTAACTCTAAAACATTAAAAAACTTTTTTATTTAAACCCCACATTTATCATGTCTGCTAAGTATTCGTATTCAAGTCTTGACGAGTAGGAAAGGTGTACCTGCCTAGTTTCTTGTCATTCTGGGAAATCCATGTTTTAAAATCTTTAGTCTTTTCCCTGAAAAAAAGGCAGACAACACGGCGAAAAGGATAACAACTAGCTGCTGCCTTTGAATACTTAAGTGCAAAGGTTCTCAAACTTCAGCGGGCTTCAGAGTCACCTGTTGGGCTCGTGGCCCCGCCCCGCGAGTGTCAGGAACCGAGTTCCAGGAGAAGCGGATGCTGCTGCTGAAGGACCACTGCTCTAACGTTTGAGACGCAGTGGAAGCTCTTCGCTCTCTTCTTCAGCTTGGGAAAGGCTGTCCTTCCCCGTCGCCGGCCGAGCAGACAGGCACAGCCTGAGAATGCGTCCTCTAATTGAGCAACTTCACATTTCCCGGACACACAGACATTGCCCGGCCCAGGTGGCGGGGCTGGAAGCCGGGAAGGCGCCGTCACCCAAGCCTGAGTCATTTTGGGTGGGGAAGCCCCCCGGGAACACCAGGACAGTTCGCTGGGCCGTAGGGATGGCTCAAGTTGTGGGGACTGTGGTTTCGCCACACACTGAACGGCCCTGCGGCCCCTTCCTTTTCGCTCTCTCGCCTCCCACTCCCACTCCCACGCCGCCTCACTTCCTTGAGGGCTTTTCCTCACAACTTTTTCGGGAGACTCTGACCCCGCTCCGGCCCTCGGCGTTTTCACAGAATTATCAGTCATTCATCCATCTCCATCCACAGATTTTGTCACCATCCTTCCAAAGGGGAAGCTTGGTGGCCGGAAACAGCATCCAGAGTCTCCGGGAGGCGACGGCTCCGGGTCGGCCGTCGTCAGCCACCCCGCCACCGGCAGAGCCAAGAGGAGCAGCCGGAGAGCGAGCTGCGCCGGTTCCGGGCCTTCCATCTTGGACAGCCCGGGGGCAGGCGGCGGGAAGGTTAGGGCGGAGCCGGCGACGGTGGGACGGACCTTCTGGGGGCGGGGCCTTCACCGGTTGCTGCTGTCAAAACACTAACGGAGGCACAAACTACGCGTGCGCAATGCTGCTCCAGGCGGACCGCAATAGAGTCGGGAAAAAATATACCTAGAGCATTACAGCCTCGCTTATTTTGAGGGGGGATTCTCACCTCAACTAGTGAAGACCTTTATTTTGGCATCACAGTACTTTTTAATTAATATAGAAGTATATATATATATATTTGATTCTGAGGTAGGACAAAATATCGGAAAAAGGAAACAAAAAAATCATAGTTCTAAACTTATCTCCGCTTTCAATTTTTTGTCTTTGTTACTTTAGAACTTTAGATCAGACACCTGCTCAGCTCTGTATGTTGTAAGGAATGTCTATATCATAGGTTTGTTAGCCCTAAATTTACCTCGCCTGTCTCATCCCCCTTCAAGACCGAGAAAACCAAGATAAAAGACTAAATTTTAGGATTTGCACAGACTCCCAGATGCCACCTATTACAACTATCCAGTTCTAGGTATCTGTCTCCTCCACACCTAAGGAAGGGTGCCTACAAGTCTCCAAACCTATAATTACCTCAGATTCCAGTAAAAGAGCCTGATAAACTACCCCTGGGTGAGAGAACCTCCCCAAGTAATAGTAAGTATCCCATGACAAGAACTGAAAGCCCCCTGCCAAAAAAACCCAATAATCTCTTTGGTACTGAGGGGCCCCTCAAACCATAGAGATTCCTCCAGAGCTGAGATAATGATCCACCAGACCCCGGCGTGCCTCATTTAAGCCATAAAAGCTAGCTCAGTTCTTTTGCAAGACAGCAGGTCTAAACCCCTTCATCAAAATCAATGCCCTCCAGCTACTAAAGCTGGAGTTCTTTCCCAATTCTCCATTATTTTCTAACTAATAAATCTGCCTATAGCAGCCTAATAAATCTGTCTATACTTCACACAGATTCTGAACTGATATTCAGTGACAGAAATTTACAAATCTATTCTATGGGGTGCTTTGAAGTCCCTGATCTTTTTTGGGTATCTCTTTGGACACCATCTGGTGAGATCTGCAAAATGAAAACACTGGTAATACTTCAGAATACTATTATACATTAATAAAACATTTCAACATTTAGAGGGGAATTTTTTATCAATTAAATTGGTGGTTTCCACCCTTGACTCCACGAGAATCACCAAAGTAGCTTTAAAAAATACCAAGGTCTGCCTGGGCACCTGAGTTTCTGATTTACTTAGGGTTGTGGCTGGGGTACCAGTATTTTAAAGTTCCCGGGTGATTTTGTGTATGTGTGCATGTTCGTGTGTGTGTTTGTGGCCAAGATTAAGGACCAACCTTATCTCTAAACATTCAACATCTGACCAACCACACATTAAATGTTTGACATTCAGCTCACCATTGGAGGTAATGTGGGATCAACCCTCTGAACTGAAAGTCATTCCCACTGGCCTCTGGGTGGGTACCTTTCTAGCTAGTTTCCTAATCTATGAAATGAAAGTATAGAAATGTCTTCTACTTTTCAATTTTTTGTTTTTAATTTTCTGAAACTCTTGAAAGCAGAGAGTACAAGGAAATTCAAGTATTTCAATATTAACAAGGTTGCATTATGCTTGGTACCAGAGAATGAACTCGGGAATTTGCTCTTTCAAAGCAGTCAGTGGAACCACTGAGCTAAATCCCCAGCCCTGAAATTACATATTGATTGAGGAAAATTCTGGAAACATGGATGTTCAGGCAGAATAAAAATGTTTAGCCTTTCTTTGAAATAAAACTTTTTTTTTCAGTTCTAGGGACCTAACCTAGGGACTCACACATCCTGACTACTCTACCACTGAGCCACATCCCCATCCCCAAATAAAACTTGTGACATGAAAAAGGAAACCAAGTGAATGCTTGTAATCCCAGCATGAGGGAGGCTGAGGCAGGAGGATTGCTGTGAATTTGAGGCCAGCCTGGGGAGCATAGACCTTATGTTAAAAAATAAAAGGAAGAAAGGAAAACAAACAAATCCCTCTTTCTGTCCTTAAGTTCCTTTTTCTTCTTCACTCAACCCCACCAATACCACACGTGTGCTTTTTTCACTAGAGTGAGCTATTAAAGGTTTGACCAAAAGTTAATTCAACTAAGAGCTTGCCTACTCTGAGAAATTTATTTTATCAGTGTTAACTTTTAAATGGTTTTTGCAAACCTATGTTTGAAGTGTATCTGCAAACATTGGGCTTTTCCCTCTGTTTCAGACTTCTGGGAATTAAAAATGAATGTATTGGTGTCTTAGTTACTTTTCTCCTTGCTGAGACAAAATACCCAGCACTCAAAGAAGGAAAGTTTTATTGTAGCTCACAGCTTGTAGAGGTTTCAGTCCATAGTTGACTGGCTCAAGGCAAGGTGGCATGGCAAAAAGGCACTGCAGAGGAGAAACAGTCCATGGCAAAAGCAGGGCAGGCAGAAGGCAGCAAGCAGCAGTCAATGGCAGCAGCCCTTTCTGTCCCTTGGATGGGTAGCACTCACACCCAGGGTGTGGCACCTTTAAGCCAAGAATCACATACCTTAGGTCCAGCCACCTCCAAAAAGCCCCACCTATGACCACATGAGGCTTTGGGAAGACATCTAGATACAAGCTATAATAATTGGTTAGAAAATAAGACATGTGGATCTGTAGAATTTAAATTAATAATATAAAAAAATAACTGAGAAAAAAAATATATGTATAAGGTCCTAAAGTATGTATACATGTAAGGGTATTAAGGTAAGAGGAGTCTTTCCAATAGCGCTCTTCACATCTGACAGGCCTTTCTTCTTCAAATGTCTGCTCAGCTAGTTGTGAACTCTAAGAAGGGAGCAGCCAAGCTTAAAGCACAGAGACAGCTAAAGTAGACTTTCAGTGGGACCAGATTATACAAATAATGGCTAAGTAATTAAGAGTATTAATTGATAAAGAACAATTTTACTACTTTGTATGACATGGTTCTCTTTATGCCATTGTCTTGCTATATGCATTCATAAGAACCATAGAATGTCATGTGAAAATTTCCCTAATTTGAAAAAAAACCACCATTATACCACAACTGTGATGAATTAAAACAAAACTTAAAACACATTTTGTTACTCACTTGTTATACTTTAGAAAATCCAGCTTGGTACCAGAGATTCCTGAAGTTAGGTTCCTGCCTAGTCTGTGACGCAGGCCTGAGAAATAAATACACTAAGAGATAGAAATGAGGGAGAGTTGAGCATGGTGGCACATGCCTGTAATCCCAGCACTTGGGAGGCTGAGGCAGGAGGATCACTGTGAGTTTGAGACCAGCCTGGGCTACACAGTGAGAGATCCAGGTCAGTCTCAACTACACAGTGAGACCCTGTCTCAAAAAACCAAAAAAAAAGAAGAACTGAGGGAGAGAAAATGAGGTACCAGGATGACCAATGCTGGTATAACAGACTGGTCAGTCCCAGTCACTGACTTTTATTGGCAATCAATTGGGATAAAGGCAAGTTGCGTGCAGTTTCTATGTAAATTAATGTAAACAAGGCTCATAAAGGACAAGACAAAGCATTCTCTAATTAGGAACAAAATATATGGTAATTGGGACATTGTCCTTCTAGTCAGGTTTTAGTTGTGGGAACAGAATTTGGAAGTGAGTTACTCTGACCTCAGCACATAGGCTTCAGCCAGACTCACTTTTATAAACAAGCCATTTGTGGGATAATTCTTCACAGCCTGCTTTGTGCATAATCAATATTATGGCCCTCTGCAGCTTGGTATATCTGATCTTTACATTAATCTGTAAAACAAACAGAAATAACCTAGCAGTTGCTTACATGAGAAATAAATGCATCAATGTTAATACAGTATGTGTTTTCATCTTCTTTTGAGTCAGTTTATTTCAGCTTAATTTCTTTGATTATAAAGCCATTCAAAAGAGTTCAACTGACCTAACACAGCAATTCAGTGTAGTTCTGTGCACATTAATTGCTTTCTGCTATTTCAAGACAATCTTACATTTAAGCAGAAAACATTCTAAAAAAGATACTAGTCATAGAAAGCACCATATGTAAGATAAATAAAATACATCTTTATTCTCCCAAAACAATACCCCAGGCCCCAAAACTTGACATATTTCCACCTTTAAGACTGATTGCATTGCTATTTTCATCATTCCCACAATCAAACTTTGAATTCAACTTTTTTTTTTCAATTCAAAATAGGCTTGACACCAAAGGGACATCTGGGAGATGACCTGTATCTGGTTCCAATTTCTGAGACAGAGTGAGTCACTGCACTTCTGTTATAACACACTCCTCTTTTATCCAGAGCTACTCTACATATTTTGGAACTTCCAGAAGATCCTCAGTAGAGAGCAAGAATAAAAGTGCTTTTTTTACACCTCCAAAGTCATTCCCTAAATTTACCTTATTTTTCGAAGATATTTTAAAACTGCTTTTACTGAAATCTTCTCTTCTGTATTTTTAGAAATGAATCTTACTAGACCTACCCATGATGAAGGGTGATGCTTCTCAAATGAAGAACAAATACCTTTTAGAACTATCGTCATTGTAGCAAGCAGTATTTATTGTTAAATACTTTATGTCTATCTAAACCCTACAACAACCTAATGATATGATTACAATTTATGACCCCATTATTGTTATTGTCATTATTATTATTATTTTATTATTTGGTGTGTGGTGCTACGGATCAGACCCTGGGCCTTATCCATGCTAGGGAAGTGCTGTACCACTGAATTATACCCTCAGCCCATGATTCCATTTTACATATGAAAAACAGAGATGTATAGTTGGCAAATACTTTTCCCAGAGGTGCAGAATGATGTGATGGGGCTATGATTTTTAGCCCTTGGCATTGTGAACCAACATACTATCTTGGCTCATAGTAAAAATAAGATACTATAATTTAGTCTATTTTTATAAGATTATAAAGATGATTGTAAAATATTCAACTGGCTTTCTGAAATATGAGCTGGAGAAACAGGAAAGTATAGGAAATATTTGCCTATTTCTTCACCACCATGGGATCGTGAAAGTCTCATGT